GTGTGCCATCTTTCGGACCATTCTTTTCTGTGATAGAAATATTAGAGAATTGAGTAAGAAATCATTTTCAGTCAATTTATAGAATTGTGCTTTCTCGTGCCCAATTATTTACAAACTATTGCGAAGAAACATTATTTCATTGTGTCCAATTTTTCCGAATTTCATCGTGTAACTTACCAACAGAGCTTATGTGAAGTTCCTGAAAACTGAAACTAGCCTTTAAAATATTCCTTACCAAGCATTAGAATGGTGATCCTAGTATATATATTATTAAAATGATCCGAATACTCTGTAAATATATATATATATATATACATATATATATATATACAGAGTGCCCCAATAAAATGTATACACATGTATCGTATTGTATTAATGTATAAACATTGAAAATTCCTGTCAACGTGGTTTATCACTTTTTGTTTTCTCATTGCCTCTTCTCAAATTGACTTTGTCACTGGAAAAGTTATATTCCAGGATTAATCCATGCTCTTAATAACGATGATCCAGGACGAAGAATACAGTTTTGCGAGTGATATTCACAACATTGTGAGGAAAATGCAAATTTTTCTACAAATCCATAATAAACATATATATATAACTCTATTACGGTAGTTAAACGGACCTGCCATTAAGCGGACGTCGTTCCTGTGCCGTATCATTGTTTTTAAATACGTGATTGGAGAGCGCGAGAGCCGTTGACAACTACGGAGAAAAAGAGTCAACACAATCCTCTCGATAACAGATATAAAATTTTTGTCCGCTTAATTCAGACCACCAAATGTTTTAGCCTATTTTGGCACTAAGCCGGACCCCTCTTATATGTCGCCCTGGATGTCTACATAAATGATGTTGCTTTTATTTTAATACGCATTTTAAAGCGTATGACCTCGCTTTAATTTCCGATGGATTCGAACCATTTAGCAATACTTATCACAAAAAATAGCATTTCTTTTTTCAATGTCCAGTCTTTCGTGCAAGGGAGATTCACTGTGTTTGGTGTTGGAAATAATCTTCCATATCAAAAAATACTCGAAATGCAACGTGAAGGTAGACAAATCGAAACAAATTGATCCAAACGTGTAATATATTTGAAACTGAGAAATACACAGAGCATATCACAAATGTTCGCCTATTCCAACCCTATGGTGCAACATATAGATTAAACAGATGCTATGTTGTAAGTGTCAAGATATCAATACCAAGTCAAAATTATGGCATTCCAATAATATTGATAAACATTGCGCAAAATATACCTCAAAAACCCGCATATCTATATGGCTATAAGCGTGACATATAATTGAAAAACAAAATTTTGAAATGCCATACATAGGGAGAAACAATACACAAAATATTTTTCAAACGTATCACCAATCTGATTGATAAAGTGTGAAATATTATTTTAAAATGGAAGTGTGGTATAGGATAGTTAAATATTATATGAAAGTGCTAATTATTTTGAGAAACAATAAAAGAAAATTATATATACGCAGAAGGTAACCGCAGAATGAAATTCGGAAATGCCAATAATATTGAAAAAATATCACACAAACTTTATCTCAAATGTCCACCTATCCGGCCTTTTAAGTTATACAAATATTTGTAAATGGGAATTCTGGTATGTCATTAATGAAGACAAACATCACACAAATTGGATTTCAAATGTTCATCTATCCGGTCACTCAAATGTGGCACGTAATTGAAAAATGAACACCAGCGCTATTGAGAAACATTACACAAAATATATCTCAAATGTCAACTTATCCGACCCACCTAAGGGTGGCATACAACAATTGAAAAAAAAGTCTTAAATCATATTGAGAAAAATCACACAAAATATATCTCAAATGTCCACCTATTCGGCCATTCAAGTGTGGCATACAACAATTAAAATGAAAACTCTGAAATCATATCGAGATACATTACACAAAGTATATCTCAAACGTCCACCTATCCGGCCACCTAAGTGTGGCATTAAACATTAAAATGAAAATTCTGAAATCACATTGAGAAACATTACACGAAGTATATCTCAAATGTCCACCTATCCGGCCACCTAAGTGTGGCATACAAGAATTGAGATGAAAATTCTGAATTCATATTGAGAAACATTACAAGAAATATATCTCAAATGTCCACCTATCCGGCCACCTTAAGTGTGGCATACAAGATTTTGAAATAAATTCTGAAATTAATATTGAGAAATATTACACAAAGTTTATCTCAAATGTCCACCTATCCGGCCACCTGAGTGTGGCATACAAGATTTGAAATGAAAATTCTGGAATTATATTGAGAAATATTACACAAAGTTTATTTCAAATGTCCACCTATCCGGCCACCTAAGTGTGGCATACAAGATTTGAAATGAAAATTCTGAAATTATATTGAGAAATATTATACAAGGTATATCTCAAATGTCCACCTATCCGGCCACCTAAGTGTGGCATACATGATTTGAAATGAAAATTCTGAAATTATATTGAGAAATATTACACAAAGTTTATCTCAAATGTCCACCTATCCGGCCACCTAAGTGTGGCATACAAGAATTGAAATGAAATTCTGAAATTATATTGAGAAATATTACACAAAGTATATCTCAAATGTCCACCTATCCGGCCACCTAAGTGTGGCATACAAGAATTAAAATGAAAATTCTGAAATCATATTGAGAAATATTACACAAAGTATATCTCAAATGTCACCTATCCGGCCACCTAAGTGTGGCTTTACAAGAATTAAAATGAAATTCTGGAATCATATTGAGAAACATTACACAAAGTATATTCTCAAATGTCCACCTATCCGGCCACCTAAGTGTGGCATACAAGAATTGAGATGAAAATTCTGGAATCATATTGAGAAACATCACACAAAATATATCTCAAATGTACACCTATCCGGCCATTTAAGTGTGGCATACAACAATTACAATGAAAGCTCTGAAATCATATTGAGAAACATTACACAAAGTATATCTCAAATGTCCACCTATCCGGCCACCTAAGTGTGGCATACAAGATTTGAAATGAAAATTCTGAAATTATATTGAGAAATATTACACAAAGTTTATCTCAAATGTCCACCTATCCGGCCACCTAAGTGTGGCATACAAGATTTGAAATGAAAATTCTGAAATCATATAGAAACATTACACAAAGTATATCTCAAATGTATCCACCTAAGTGTGGCATACAAGAATTGAAATGAAAATTCTGAAATCATATTGAGAAACATTACACAAAGTATATCTCAAATGTCCACCTATCCGGCCACCTAAGTGTGGCATACAAGAATTAAAATGAAAATTCTGAAATCATATTGAGAAACATTACACAAAGTATATCTCAAATGTCCACCTATCCGGCCACCTAAGTGTGGCATACAAATTAAATGAAAATTCTGAAATCATATTGAGAAACATTACACAAAGTATATCTCAAATGTCCACCTATCCGCCACCTAAGTGTGGCATACAAGAATTGAAATGAAAATTCTGAAATCATATTGAGAAACATTACACAAAGTATATCTCAAATGTCCACCTATCCGGCCACCTAAGTGTGGCATACAAGAATTGAAATGAAAATTCTGAAATCATATTGAGAAACATTACACAAAGTATATCTCAAATGTCCACCTATCCCCACACTAAGTGTGGCATACAAGAATTGAAATGAAAATTCTGAAATCATATTGAGAAACATTACACAAAGTATATCTCAAATGTCCACCTATCCGACCACCTAAGTGTGGCATAAAACAATCACAATGAAAACTCTGAAATCATATTGAGAAACATTACACAAAGTATATCTCAAATGTCCACCTATCCGACCACCTAAGTGTGGCATAAAACAATGCAATGAAACTGAAATCATATTGAGAAACATTACACAAAGTATATCTCAAATGTCCACCTATCCGACCACCTAAGTGGGGCATACAAAAATTGAAATGAAAATTCTGAAATATACAAAATATATATCTCAAATGTCCGCATATCCGACCACCTAAGTGTGGCATACAACTATTGAAACAAAATTCTGGAATCATATTGAGAAATCTTACACAAAATATATCTCACACACTTAAGTGTGTGAAATTTAACTGAAATACGAAATTTCGAATACTAATCATTTTGATGTTGTGGAAAATTGCTCAAAATTTATCTCTAATGTTCACCTATCCGATAACTTGAGAGTGACAAATATTATAAAACAAAATTTTGAAACCATATTGAAAAACAAAACAGAAAATAAATCGCAAATCGTCATCTACTCAGCTACGTAAGTGTGTCATGTAAATGCAAAATGATATTTTGGAATGGCAATAATATTGAGAAGCATTCAAAAAAAATTTCAACCATCCGACCATTTCAGAAGTTTAAACACGAAATTCTGAAAAAATATCGAGAAACATTACACACAACATATCTCAAATGTTCAATAAAGTGACGTTTTCAGTGGGGCCTATAAATGCGAAACGAAATTTTGCCATGTCAACTAAAATGAGAAACATTACACCAATTATAACTCAAATGTCTACCTATCAGGGCAGTGATTGATTATACAGTCAACTATACAAGCGATAAAAATGAAATTATTGAACCTCTATATCAATTTAGAATCTTTGCACAATTTATTTAAAATTTTTGCACCAACTCGGAATACAAAAACATGATTGTTATTTTGAATTTATAATTAAATAGTAAAAATGTATGCCAAGTATGTATACGAATGTGGATATGCCCACTAGGTTAAGTTGTTGAGGAGAGACAAGATTATGCTCACTGCCGGTTCATCTTTATGAATTATACAGAGATGTCTTAAAGCTTTACAATAAACTTCTCGCAAGATATACCAATCCGTGCAATTATTTTTCTTTTCGTCGTTTCTTTTCTGGTTCGCGTTTGTTTAGAAGCTTTTTTTTTAATTGATTTACAGCCTTTTTCTTTTCCATATATATGGTTTTCTTTGAAATCACTTACATTGCTTATTGAAAGTGATTCTGAAGATGGTGCGGTATAGTCTGTTGACTTATCTGAAACTTTGGTCAAAAATACATGCATAAGTCACAAAACATCATCACAGTGTTTTAGTCCAATTCAGAATTACGCTACTCTTGATTGATCGAACAAACGAAATGTTTGAAATGGAATTGCATTATTACTCAAATAAACCAGAGTTTCTAAACGTGCACTACAATTATTCGTAGATAGCTGCGCTATTTGTGATGGGCTACAAATGATATTATGATTTGGTTTATTACCATTCATTGGTATCAATTTACGATACGTATTTAATAAAAAAACAAGCATAGCAAACTCATTTAGTCACCTCCTGGCACAGCTTTCTCCGAATCACTACCCGCATTTCCGTCTGCCAAGTTCTGAAACGTAGGCCATCTCGTTGGAGAGTCACCTACATGTGAACAAAAAATACAGCCCAGTAAATAACTAGATGAAGATGGTAAAATAACACAGGGATATGTGCCAAATCACAAAACAAAATTGCTAGCAATGCAATTCTTCAAAACTGTTTTCCGAAGATGAAATATTCTAATCTAATATGAAGCGGTGTATTAGATATTTTTATTTACACCAAGCTATACAAACGTCAACACTCGCTTCTCGTATCCTTCTGTTTCGAGAAAAAATTGAATTCATTGAATTTTCACAATCTTCGTTTGTATTTTCATCTGGATTTAGAAATCCTTCTGAATTACACACTCTTACAAACGCAAACCCAGTCGTAGCATTATTTTGATGGTCAGATCAGAACTACGACCAGTAAAAGCATAACAGTATCAGTAGTCTATATTTTGATAATCTGGATTACGTGAAAAATCTCAACACCAAAAATATAGTAACCCTAATATTAAAAATCGTTATGACTAATCACCTTATCCGATGAGTGATGATTTCCAGCAGCATTCCTCGGTGACGTTGAAATCCTTGCTTATTATGACTCGACTTCAACTCACTGGGTAACTGATAACACCTGACACAAAAGACTTGGATCTTCTCCAAACACAACTGTTCTATTTTATCTAAATTTCGGCAATCACGCACTCATGAAGATCCCAATCCCCTCACGGCGCCCAGGTTACTTGCGAACAAAACGGCAAACGTGGTAAAGTTCTCGGCGAACCCGACAGTTTTACTATTGCGACACAAAGCCTCTTTAGTACGGAGTTGTGAATTGAGGTCCTTTTCAGTTTATTGAGCTTATATTGCAAAAAACAGAACGGACGATCTTCATGTTCTGCCTGGTTATTGTATCAAAATTATCAAACCTACTCTCCAAAAATCGTAAAAACATATACCGAAAAATTAAAAGATTTTTGCATAAAAAATGTCCACTTTATGTACGAAAATTAAACCCGTTGATTATAAACCAGCAGAACTACTGTCCCATTAAAGTTGGCGAAAATGTGCAATTATTTAAAAAATATTGAAAGAACATATTATTTTTGATACTGTTTTATCAGAGAAAAAGAGATTTCAGCAAAATATCGCAAAACGTTTTAATTATGGAACGTGGAATAATTAAGCGGACAGGAAAATGTCTACCCAATTTTTCCGTCTACATAACTGTCGCTTTTTTAGCACGCGTATGTCTACTTAACTACCGTATATATATACATATATATATATATATATATATATATATTGAACTATAGCGAGAGTGTTAGCAGATAAATTAACGATTGTCTTAATTCATTGATTTATCAATATTCATAAACGAGTTCCCGGAAGATCCGAAAGCTTGCTTCTAATTAATTACCGACCCTCCATTAGCGTTGCTCTGAACGTCTTCAAATGGTATGACGCAAGAATGTCCTCCTAACAAATTCATTCCAATTTCTGTTGATATTTTAGTGCGTGTGCTGGTTTTCTCAAAGATCATTCCAAGTGATTTTCCTTCAAGCTTGCGGAATCTATTCGAATGCAGTAGGATAAAACAAACAATTGATCTTAACCTAAAATGATCATTAACATCAACTTATCGACGCAATGATCATTAGAAGGATATTTAAATTTGATGGTACGTCTCCATCATTACACCACAGCTTACAAACTGATTTAAAACAATTTCCTCAACTATTTTGAAGCGTAACTTATGAATTAACAGACAAATTGTATTATTAATGGCGATTTATTGCACTTTGAATAAATTTAGCGTATACCAAATTGAATAGATTTATAAAAACCATGCATAAATTGTGGCGCCCCGCTATTTATAACATTTATAAAGGCGAAGTCGATGCTTAAGTGTACTTATGAAAGTTTTCCTGGATCACGTAACAGCTGGTCGGTTATTGCTTCCTTCATCATCTAGATTCTAGAACTATATGCTACAATGAAATCGACCTAGAGTATGATCGAGAGGGATTCAAAAAGGCGAGTTCATCATATATATATGACTGAGCTGTCTTATCATCTTTTCGATTCCCAGGATAAACAAAGAAACCCTACCCTATTCCTACCCTTCTCAATCTTCCACGACAAAGGAAGACATTGGGGAAGGTTTGTAATACCTTTCGTTCAGTTGCTTCATCCTTAACTTTAGATCAGCAGCACTGCTCAATAAATGAAGAAGATCTTCTCTAGTATAGTCTGCTAGTGAAAGCAAACTTCTTCCTTTCATCGAGATGTCCTGCTGTCGACATATCTGAGCATGATTTGTAGATGCAACACTGTGGGCATGAAAAGGTAAACAATAAACTAACTCTGTTTTTTATTTGTAAAAAAAAGTAGTTTGGGTTGATTTAAATATGTATTTAACAGTAACACATCTGAGTGTATTACATCGAGGCAGTGTTCGATGAATCCACATTCTATGTAGTATGTTTTTACCAAGTTTCTCATATATATGAATATTATTTCTGTACTTTATCCAATTGCGTAAGAAATGAGAAAGTTATATTTGTATATATATATATAAATATAAATACTAATATAGACAGTATTTCTACATTTTATAAGCCGATAATAAAGGACGTAACCATTCAACGGTAGGTGCATCGTGTGCACTCACTTTTCTCACACCTTTCTCTTCAAACTAGTCGTTTACTTCTTCCGATAACACTCACATATTTTGCTATCTCATATCC